CTATATATATATTTATATATATATCACTATATATATATATATATCCCTATATATATATGTATGTATGTATGCATGCATATATATAGAGGGTTTTATAATATATATATATATGTGTGTGTGTGTGTATGTATGTATGTATGCAGATGTAGATGTAGATTAGATGTAGATGCATATATGAGTATATATGAATGTATATGTATATATAAATATATGTGTGCGTGTGTGTGTGTTTGTGTATGTGTATGTAGTTGTGTATATATTTATGTACGTATTTGTATGAGTTTGTGTGTTTTTGTCGTTGTATAGAGGAATGGATGCATTTTTTAGAGAGGGCAGGGGGGATATCTGTTTACCGTATTGATGATGTGTATCCTATCTTCTTTTTATTTTGTGTGTGTATTTGGGTTTTGTGCGTGTTTCATTGTTCTGAAATTTGGTTTTTAATATTACATAGATGTATCCAAATATACGCTAAGTTTTGTTCTACTGTTGAGACGTTCCGTTTTCATTATAGAATGCTTGACTGTACGTTTTCATCCATAGCTATTTGTGTAGGTTGTATTTTGTTGCTCTACCGATAGCATATTCCGTCTCAGTATTAAAGGACGCTGAGATGTCTTGGCGTAAGTTTCATGCATTGTCGATGCTACCTTTTGTGCTGTTTGTGTGCAAATGATTTTACGTTTGCAATTGTCACGATTGATATGTGCAGTCCTTGTATGTGCAGTCCTTGCTATTTTGAGTGAACAGTGAGCAAGGCTGACTGTAGTGTAATGATTTAATTGGGCTTACGTTGGTGTATACTTCATATGTATGCACGGATATCTTCACATACATAAATACACATATTCATAACTTCATACGCATATACATCGAACCCATACATATGCAATCCGAAAAGAAGCAAAGGAGAAGCGGCTTGATGGGTATTCAAATCGGTAAAAGGCGCAAATATGTGAGCGTGTTTGTGTTGGCAGACGAACCTCCTCACATGTCACGTGCCGCTCTTATCAGTTGATGATCTTTGCTATTCTGATACTCTATTTTCTACGTCGACCTTGTTTGAATCTTTTAGAAAAGATAGGAAATTTTTTCAGCATTGATTCTTAACCGGATTTAATATATTATTCGTCTTCCAGGCGTACAAGATGCCGAGGCTTCTCAAACCAATAATTCGGATACAAAGACCATCGGCCCTCAGACCAAGGACAAAGATATAGCAAAGGATAGGGAAATAGGCAAGGGTGCGCTCAGTGAGGTGAAAGAATGGAAGTGGCAATCGACATTGAATCATTTGAATCAGGCCAAGGCTGAAACCGATATAACGGCTGACCTGCTGAAGCTTATTCAGGATGGCAATGTATGTAACGGTATTAGAGCCCATCTATTTGTGCTGAGCTCATATTTTCGTGCACCTGGTACCTAAAGTCTCTCTGTGGAAGATAGTCATAGAGCCCATCTATTTTGTGCTGAGCTCATATTTTCGTGCACCTGGTACTTACAGTCTCTCTGTGGAAGATAGCCACCGTTAAATTGTATTGAGGATACGATGTAGTAGAGGTCTCAGTATGAAACTGCGTGCTTGTCATACTAGTTAGTCAGCTTTACGTCTCCGTATTTCTGTATATGTAGCTCTTTCATTCTCCGCTATATCGTCACTCAATTTTCTATTAGGTGGCCTTTGCGCTGACAAGTAGGCTGCTGCTGTAGTTTATCTCGGGTTTGTATGGGCGTACATGCATTGCATTGATCACTGGTTGCTTTCATTTTTATGGAGCGTGAATCTGTATGTTTATTTTTCCGCACGTGCTGTATCGGAGTTATTCTCTCTCATGCTCACCGCATATGCTGCACCCTTCAGACAATGGTACTGGACAACGCCTTTCTCAACATGGCGCCGTTTAAGGAAGCCCGCAAACCGAGTGCGGCATTGCGCATGGCCACCAAGAGGCAACAGTTCACTAGCGCAAGCTCAATACTGAAGAAAAGTGCTGAGCGGTTATCTGCGGCTGTGCAACAGGACGCGGACTATTTTGTGCACACACAAGAACTGCAACGGCTCTGGCTCCTAAAACACAGGAGAAATAATCAGATATCTATTGATGTCAGCTTAAGGTCGTGCGGGTCAGATTTCAGCGGCCCAAGCGAATTGAATGTAATTAAACGACCGGCAAACACCAGTAAGTGAAAATGCCCCCCTAGTATCGAGTTCAGATCTATAGTGTGCTGGTAGCCACGTCATTGCGAATTACACAATAGATGTTATCAATTATATCACTCATGGGGACATACTACATGCTTGCACGCCTCAGATTGACTTCATTCGCCCAATTGTCTGACACCCAATATATACTTTGAAATACACAAACGAACAGGATCCGTTGCGGCGAAAGCAGTATCATTCCACCTTCCACCGGAGATGTCCATTCCACGAGCAATACAATGCTATTTGGAGACCAAGGAGGTAAGCTCACGAATTTCGCGCACCTTATGCCATGCTTGCATTTTGTTCAGCCTCATTCAAGAAAGTTGATTATATCTTAGGCAACAGGGTGGCGTGAGAAGGGTTGCTTGGCTTAACAGATCATCTAATCCAAAATTGCTCAATGTAAAAGTGCGCTACATAGGGACAAAATTTGTCCCTTTTTTGTTTCAGATGTAATATAGCAGACCTTCGACTCTCCTGCATCCTGTCGCCTGCTTTACGAGCTCATACAGATTGATTATGCCACGTTGAGCGTGTTTTGAATATGTCTTCTCTTATATCAAACCTAGTACTGAAATTGTTTTTCACTAACCTATGCTATTGAAAAATATTGGAGTAGTGGGGTGCACTTTGCTACAGCGGGAATGGTTATTTGGTTTTGTTTTGTTTATTTGTGCGGCTCGTTTCAGCGGGAGAGCGCGTTATTCTTACGTAGAATTTGGTCTACATTTTAACACCATACACATTCGTTTATATTATATTCGCAGGGAACGTCACAAATAGACATGCCGGTATTACCTGTTACCAGTAAACAGTGCAAGCAGACAGACACCATTTCTCGTCTGCGGCGGACACAGCACTTCCTGTACGCTCAGGGCTTGTTTTCCTACCTGAACCAGAGCTCAACGAGCCTATCCAATGTACCCGTATCGTCATCCGGCAACACGATATGTATTAAGATAGACAGCAATAGACAGCTCGTCATGCAGCTCGTATCGGCAGCCAATGCTGGTAGTATTAGATCAAAGTCCGCTGAAAACAACGACACACACACCAGCCTCTCGGCCAGAATGCCCAGCGACATAGTATCAGCCACCAATGCCATGTTCAGTTCAGCGCTGAGTATTGTACTGCACCTGCTTGCTAGAAAGCAGCAGAGTGCATCCCATATTGCAAGTCATGCACCGCCAGGCTATGACCTCGAGCAACTTGACAGCCATTCCAAGCACGCCTTCAGGTACCGTTTGATATTGTTAGGCTCATACGTATGGATTGTCTATCTTGGGCTAAAACTGCTCTCTCCTCTCGATTTCTTCTTTATCTTGCATCACACTCGTGAAAGATAGTGTGTTTTCATGTTGTACAACAACAACAAAAAAATCTTATTCCGAACCTCTGTGCTTTTCAATGCAATGCGCGATCTGCAGTATCGGATCTAGAGAGCCTGGGTCGAAGACACCAATCTTGTCTAGGTTCTATGATATTGTCAGGCACATATCCTGCTGTCAGATCGTGCGAACGACGCTAGCGCACTTTGCAGAGGTGAATAGCGACCCCACGGTATGTACCATACGGTTTGCTGCTCATTTAATTCACTGCTGATCTTGGTTCCGTAACTATTTTTTGCCCCTTTAATACATTTTAAAGTGAAGCTGCTTAATCATTAGATTCCTTCCGATTAAATATTACCGATCGAACCGTCGCGAGAGGTTAAACTATGTATGTATATAT